AAGGCATGGCCTGCCGCGGGCTGGCTGCGGAGGATGTCAGCCTCCGAGTATTCCTGTGTCTCCGAGGGTCTGGAGTACAGGTCGGTCTGCAAAACCACGCGCGCTGCCATGCGGACCAAGCCCCGACTCAGCATGTCGAGGGCGATGGCATGCGCGAGCACCAGCGGGCACGGCATCCCCATGGCGCCCGGATCTGCCCGCCCCCAAGCCTTGAGCTGACGTCGAGCACGAGGAAGCAGCTGGCGACCATCCTGAAAGCGATCGCCACGCAGTAAGATCCAGCCAAACAAACCGTTGCGACCCGTCCCAGGGCCCATGCCGCCGAAGAACATGGAGGACAACCAACGCAGCGTGTTCTCATCAGCGCACGTCCTACTGTTAGACTGCCTGCCTTCCCCACGGCACCACTCCTCGAACGAGTCCACGGCGGAGCGGTAGAGTCCAAGGCAGATGGCGCCACCGTCGGCAGCGCGTCGTCGTCGGCTGCCGGCCTTCGCCTTAGCCGAGACCCGGCGGCGGGGCGACTGGAAGGTCGATGGCCTCCCCGCGCCGTGGAAGCCGCGCTGGCTCGGCGGCGCCGGTCGTGCCGAAGCGGGCGCCGTGCTGGCTGAGGTAGGCGTCGGCGGCCCGGCACGCCGCGTCGCGGCCCGCTGCTTCGTCGGCGGCTGGTGCATGAGGCCTGTCAGCAGCGCGCTGAGGAAGCCGTGCCAGTGCCCGCGCAGCGGCGAGCCACTCGCCGTCCCAGGGGGCATCGCGCCTCCGCGCAGCCAGAGGTGCAATCTTGCTTAGTGCTGATGCCCAGCTTGAGCACAAAGCCGACGGGCACTGACCCGCCAGGGCCGTGATATTGCGCCAGACGTGACCCCGAGAGCCATCAGGGACCCGAGCTTTACCCAGAGGTTCATGACGGCGATGAGTACAGGGGGCCGACAGGCCCCGCAGCTCCGGGATGTTCGTGAGCACCAGAGTCCACTTTTGATGAGGGGCGCCGTAAACACACGTAGGGAACCGTGCCCACTGAGCTCCCGCGAGGCCCGCCAGTCGACCAATAAGAGGAAAGCTCCAGAGGCCCGAGGTCATGGGGTTCTCAATGCTCCAGCCCACTCCGCATCGTTGACATTCTCGGACAACTTCTGAAGTAAAGAGGGCGAACTCGACTCCAAGACGCTCCAAGGCTCTGGCTCGACGAAGATTTCGAACTCCTCGACGTGCGACAATCCAAGCGCGACAGGGTGTCCCGGGGTGCACGGCCCAAACTTTCCCAGATCGGATCCACGACAGAACCAGTCGCTGTGTTTTTCTCTGGGTCAGGTCGAACTCGGCCCCTCGCTCGATGTCAAGCGGCGCCGCTGCCCACGGCCCTGCAGCGCGGGCGGCAGCGGTCAACCCCGCTTCCCCCGCGAACAGCTCCAGACAAACTCTAGCCTGCGAGGTGGAAGGGCCCTCAAAGGTGCTTGCTGTTCGTGCTATGGCTTCTCTGGATGACGAGCCAGACAAGGAGGGAGAGGGCCCGCCCGCCTCGAGGCTCGCCGAAGGTAGCCAAGGGGCGACGACGTGCCGCTCCCTCTTCTTTTGCTTCAGCCACTCGGGGTCGGATGCCCCATGCCTCCGCGGCCCCGCGTCGGCGACGTTCAAATCCGTTGGGACATGCCTGGCCCGTCAGCGGGCGCGGCGGCCCACGCTGTAGGCCGCCGCCTTTCGGCGCAGTGAATTGAGAACGTGAGACCGAGCCTGGCCTTTGTCAAAGCAACTGCAGCAGACGAGGTTGTCGCAAAGGCTAAGGCAGCGATGCCCGTGGTTGGCCTTCGCGCGGCAGATCCGCCGCAGGCCCGCCGCGCAGATCCTGCCCTCCTTCGCGTTGATATGCTCGCCATACCGCCAGCGGCCCTCGACGGCAGTGGTCCAGCCAGACTCGTCGGTGAGAGCCGTCGGCAGGGAGGGCAACGCGTTCAAGAGCTCGATCTCGCGGCTCTGAGCCGGGCGCCTGGCCCAGCGCCGCCGCTGGCCACGCGCCTCGATAGCGCGGCGGAACATCAGCTGGCCCAGCTCCGTCCCGCGCCGCGCCCCCGCGGGCGCGCCTCCGCGCGCGTGCGGGTCGGTGAACTTCGGGGCGCCCTCGTCCAGCGTGGCGCCGAAACCGTCGGTGACGCCTCGGAGCTGTCTGAGGTGGGCCGCGGTGTAGGCGCCAGTGTTGACCTCCGCCTCCACCTCCACGAACCGCCGGCGCTCGCGCCAGCGGTGGGCGTCCCACGCGGCCCCCAGCGGCTTCTTCCAGCACGTCAGGCAGTGGCCGCCCGTCGAGGAGTCCGAGACGTGCACCTCATCGGACAGGGGGGCGCCCAGGTCCACCTCCGTTAGGAAGACAGCGATCGCCGCCATGCGGAGCTCGCCCCGCACTAGCTTCGGGAAAGACGAGCGGCGACGGCCGCCGTCGCCAATGAAGTGGTAGACCTCCTGCAGGATAGAGAGGAGGCGCGGCTGAAGCCCGAGGGGCGACGCGGCGTGCCCGGCCCGCGTCCGGAGCTCGGCGCCGCTGGCCCGCCCGCGCTTCAGCGGCGCCTTCGCGGCAAAGTAGAAGCGCCACGCCCGCCGCGGCTCCTGGCGCACGCGACGATCGGCACTGAACAACGCCAGCCCCAAGCTCTCGAGCTCGTCCACCGCGACCTCGGCGGCGTGCAGCCCCAGCCCAGCGCCAGCAGACTGATCTTGGAACGCCTCCACGCACTGCCGGGCGTCTGCCGCTGAGCCGCCGACCCCCGTGAAGTTGTCAGCGCGCGCGGCAGCCGGCGGCTTTCCTGGCCGAAGTAGTGGGGCAGGGCGCTTGTCACGAAGCAGCTGGCGATCGCCGTCAGCGCAGGGCTGCCGAACCTGATGCGAAACGACCTCCTGAGCGAAGTAGAGGGCCTGGACCCAGCCAATGGGCAAGGCCCGGAGGCAAGGGTAGAGTAGCTCTCCCGGCTTCGCAGGCGCCCAGCCTCCCGCGTCGTCGTCCCACGCGCGCTGGAGGTCGAGGTCCCGCTCCTCGACGGTCAGCGGCGAGTCGAAACCGAACCGGCTGCCCATCTCCTCATTGGCGAGCTGGCAAAAGCAGTCCTTGTCGTCAGCCCTGGAGAAGTGGGGCGCGCGCGCGCCGCCAAAGCCCCCGAGCGACGTCGCGTGGTCACTGAGATCGATCTCCGAGAGGCAGGCCGCCCCTCCCAAAACTGTCCGAGGCGGAGGGCGATGACGCATGTTCGTCGCCCTCGCGTCGCGGGTGAAGCGAATGTTGCCGCCCTTCTGCTGCGCGAAAAAAAAAACGCCGCAGCGGGACTTGATGACCTGCCTGAAGCCCGCGACGGCGATCCTGGCAAGACGGCAGAACAATCGCGTCGCAGCTCAGCGTCTCCTCGCAGCGTCGGGTCCCAAGAAGGCTCAGGAAGGCCACCAGCCGCCAGCTGGGCGCGATCTGCCACCTCGGACGCGGTGAGCTCTATCCGGCTTCGAAAGTGTAGCCAAAAAACCTGCCGCCTCGGCGGGCAGCAGCTCCGTCGCGGGCACTGGGCGGATGTCCCCCTTGCGCACCCGCAAGCGCGTGACGTCGTAGCAGGCCAAATGCTACGGCTCCAGCTCGTACTGGCCAGTGGATCTGAGGATCTCCCGGAAGGACCTCTCGCCGTCCACCGCATCGCAGGGGGGGTTCCCGAAGAAGCCGACCCGCTCCTGAATCGACTCCAGCGCACAACGCTGCGCAGCCGTCGGGTGTCTCCATGCGGCCTCACATGTCGAGCTTTGTCGCAACCTGAATTCGCACGCGAGGCGGCGAGGTAGTTGAACGTCTCAACTGCTTCTGAAACTCGCCGCTGCCTCTCCGCTCCGACACTCCACCGTCGCGCGGTGGGGCGCGGGCCCCCCGCGGGCCTCGCCTCAACCACTGCCGCGGGCAACGGGGGGGGGGTCGTTGTGGAGCCACTGGCCGCGAGGCCGCCAGTCGCGCTTGGGCTGGCCTCGCACTCCGCGAATCGGGCGCCCGCCGTCCTCGGGCTCGGCCAGGGGGCCCTGCTGATGAGCGCCGCGCGGGGGCGTCATCCCTCCTCCCCCCCAGAGCCTCCCGTGTGTGTGCGTGTGTGCTTCTCGTCTCTCCTGTCCTTCTTACCCTTCTTCCCACCCTCGTCTTCGGGACGACGCTTCTCTTTGTCGTCGCCTCCGGGCCGCTCCCGCTCCAGCTCCTCCTTGGGCAAGCGCATCTGCTTCAGGATGTTCGCGCGGCCCTTCTGGCGAGCCGCCGCGTGCTCCAAGTACTTCGGCGCCGACGCGGCGCCAGACGACTGCGTCGTGCCTGAGATGATGTCCTCGAGACCCGAAAAGTCGGGATGACGAGGGTTCCTGCTCGCAGCCATCTCGATCTGGATAGCCCGCCGCGCCGCCGCCTCCATGCAGTGAAGGTTCTTCACGTTCAACTGGTCGAGGCATATCGCGCGGCGGATGGTCTCCAGCAAGATGCGGTGCTCGTGGTTCTGAGCGCCTCCTGCGAAGACCCCGCTCAGCCTCTCCCACTCATCCTGGTAAGCCGTCAGGTTCCCCGTGCCCGCGGCCACGCTCCTCAAGTGCTCGCTCATCGCGCGGGGCCCCAGGTCCGGGCTGTCCGCGAGCTCCACCTCCCCCATCATCTCGACAGCGTCCCGAAAGTCAGCGTCGCGGCGGCCCAGCCTCGAGCGCTGGTCACCGATCAGGCGGATGTCCACGATGCCCTCGCGCTGGTCTCTCATCCAGTCGTCGCGCTCGTCCCTGTTGATCCGCACGATCGCCCGCTCTACGCCGTCCAAGGAGATCACACCCATCCTACGCATGTGCACGCATCTGCCTGGGTTCTCGACCGCCTGCTCATCCAGCACCTCGCCAAACCGAGCGTCACGGGGGTCGCTGATCACCCAGACTTGAGCCTACTCCTCCTTCGTGTCGCCAGCTCCGAGCAGCGCTGCCCGCTGCCTCGCCTGGCGCTTCATCTTTGCCAGCTCCCCAGGGTCCACAAGGTAAAGCGAGTACAACCCCGCCAACGCCCGCGCTGGGAAGAGGGAGCCCCGATCAAAAACATAGCGTCGAAGAGTGTTCAAGCCGTGCCTAGTGATCTCCATGTCCGGGGTCAAACACAACCACACGCCGTCACCGAGATGGTGAAGGAGAACCCTATGATGCCAAGGGAGGTCCTCAGCAGGAAAGTTGACCACGATCTGCGGCTCCTTGATGTCAAGCGAGCGCGGCCGACCCGCCATCTCGACGTGAGGACGGCGTGATCACCAGCGCGCTTGCCTCGCTCGGGCCGGCGTCGCCCGCGCCAGGGCGGGCGTCGGCGACGGCGGCATGGCTCTCGGCCCGAGGCCGTGTCGAGCGCCCGAACACGTAGCCCACGCCCACGCCAAGGCACAAGCCGCCCACTCCAGCGGCCGCCGACACCCCAACCCCCACCAGCAGCAGCCAGTGGCCCGGCTCTGGGGCCGGGCAGGTGCACTCGCAGTGCGCCGCTGGGCAAGCAGGCCCGGTAGCGCAGACCAGTTCGGGACAGGCAAGTATCGCGGGCAGACTGGGACACTGAGCTACAGCTGCGGCCGTCTGCCAGTGCAGACACAGGGTGGTGAAGTCCCTGGCAGCCGCGAGGACGGCCGGGAGGTACGCCGACATTCAGAGCTTCGAGCCAACACATTTGCGGACGTGCATGCACTGACGGTATGCTACACAAGGCCACTGAGAAAACACATCAACTAGATTACAATCTCATCACCCTGTGCTCCGCACAGGCGGCAGTACCAGAGACCTCGGTAGCTTTCGGTCCTGTGGGACCCGTGGATTTGAACAGGGCGCCTAGGACAACTCAAGGCCGAAACAGCTTCAACGGATCGCTTCCCAGCAAGTTCCATGCAAGCTTTACACTTTCACCCATTGGGAAACTTAAGCAAAAAACTATTGGTCGCTCGCAAAACACAGCCTGGTGCTGCACTTTAGCTTTTGCCGCTTTGCTGGTGCATTTCCAGTGGGGTCCGTGGGAGACCTTTTCGGAACCGCCACGGATTTAAGGAATCCATCAGGGACCGTTTCCGCGGACCCCCTTCAGAAATTCCCAGAAGAATTCTTGAGGAGTCCGACGAAATTCCTCATGAACCCTTCAAGAACCCCCAACAATCTCTCACGAAACCATCGGGACTCTTAGGCATCCTCCAGAATGTATCGGGACACTCTCACGGACTAGTCGGGTGTCCTGAGGAGTACCACCGCCTCAGCGCAATAACTTTTCGGGGAACATGCCCTAGGACAAACTTACAAACAACCAGAAACTCGGGGCCATCCCTGTCCAACCAGGTGGAGGAGAAGGAAACAACCATATCAGCACAAGGAGGCAAAGAGGAGGAGAAGGAGGAGGAGGACGAGGAGGAGGAGGAGGAGGAGGCTGAGGAGGAGGAGGCTGAGGAGGAGGAGGTGGAGGAGGAGGAGGAGGAGGAGGAGGAGGAGGAGGAGGAGGAGGACGAGGAGGATGCCTTGTGGCGCGGCGCTTCGGCCGCGCCTTATCGGACCTCCGCTCAGGCCGTGGGTGAAGTTGCCGGGCATGTGGGACTTCTGTCTCTGCCTCCTGCTCCTGTGCGTCTGTGCCTGTTCTCATTCGCGCATGTGGGACATCGGGAACCGCACGTCTCCTCTTCTGGGGTCGGCGCCACGGTGTAAGCCTGTTGCTGACCTGGGCGGCAACGGGCCCCAGAACCGTCGGGCCCGGGAGACTTCAACAAGGGGATGACCAACTTGTCATGTGAAGGAAGAGGGAGGGATGGGGGGAAGCTTCAGGAGGCAGGGGATGATGAACAAAACGACCCAGCAGCAGGAGGAGGTGGAACGCGCCCAGGGGATAGTCCAAACTTAACACACGAGACTGACCAAGATGCAAAGCCCGATCGTCATCACGGTCAGGGGGAGAAAGAACCATACTGAGGAGGCGACAGAGGAGACGACGGAGGAACGACGGCAGTGGAGTTGGGATGGACGAGGGGTGGTGGTGGTGGTGGTGGTGGTGGTGGTGGTGGTGGTGGTGGTCACCTGGTTGGGGAAACAACTCCCGAGCAGAGCAACAGGCACCGACCACGACGACGCCGACGCCGACGGACACGATCCGCACCGAAGCACATACTTGGGAGTGGGCGAGGGGGAGGAGGGGGAGGATCAATAGGGAAAAAAGGAATCGAGGAGGCGGGGGAGGAGGAGGAGGAGGAGGAGGAGGAGGAGGAGGAGGAGGAGGAGGAGGAGGAGGAGGAGGAGGAGGAGGAGGAGGAAGAGGAGGAGGAGGAGGAGGAGGAGGAGGGAGGAGGAGGAGGAGGAGGAGGAGGAGGAGGAGGAAGGAGGAGGAGAAGGAGGAACGGATGGTGGACGTGGAGGAACGACGGAAGAGACAACGCGGGAGCGACGGGCGCCGCTGCGGAGACGCGCCTCGCGGGCCTCGCAACTGGCAGGCGATGCGGCCGCGTCCTTCGGGTGCCAAGCATCCTCGCAAGTGGAGGCGAAGGCAATGGCCATCAGAGCCCGAGGGAACGGGGCATGCAGCTGAAGCAAAGGAGGGGAAAGCGAGCGGCCAAGGAGAGGAGGAGGAGGAGGAGGCAATTTTTGGGGCCATTTCCGTTCGGCCCCCTGACGCCCTGCCCGCGGACAAAACCAGGTGCCGTCGAAGCGCGGTCACGCCGCGCCGCCGTCGCCGAAGGGCGACTCCCAGCCCGCCGCCACGCGCGCCTGCGCCCAGCGCGCCGCGGCGGCGGGCGAGGCGAAGCCGTTGAGTGCGGCCGCCTGCCAGGCATCCGCCACGGCTGGCAGCCCCCAGCGCGGCGGCCGCCCAGCCCCAGCGGGGGCCCCAGCGCCGCCTGCCGCGCCTGCGCCACCTCGGAGCACCGCCGCGAGCCGCGCCTGCTCCTCTTCCGTGGGCGCCTGCGGGGCGAGGAGCCGCGCCTTGCTCTTCGGCTCCTGCAGGCGCATCAGGGGCCGCCTCGCCTCTGCCGCCCGCTCGCCTGGGGCGGGCCGCCCCTTGCAGCTGCCCAGCAGCCCGCCCCTGCAGGAGGGGGCCTCTTCCAGAAGCGGCAACCGCACTTCAGGCGCCAGGCCATGGCCCCGTCGCCGTTCTCGAGGCGCGAGACGACGATGCAGTGCCCTCGCACCTCCCGCGCCACGCCTGCTCCAGTCACCGCTGCCTGCAGCTCGGGGGCGGCGACCGCTGCATCCGCGAGCTCGACGGCGGCGGCCTCTGCGGCGGCGACGGGCGGCTGGCCAAGCTCCGCGCCAGCAGCGGCCCCAACGCCAGCAGCCGGGGCCTGACCGTGCACGAGCTCGGCCTCGAGCGCCGCCGCCGCCACCTCCTCGTCAGCCAGCTCCGCCGCGTCCAGCGCCTCCTGCGGGATGTCGTAGACGAGGTCGGCCGTGCCTACCACCCCGTCGGAGTCCAGCTTCTCGTGGTCCACCACGGTGGCGGCCAGCTCGCCGATCCAGCGCCCGAGCTCCTCCGCACGCCAGGCGCACGCCTGGAGGAACCAGACCAGCTCCTCGTCGATCGGCCACAGGGCGGCGCCCCTCTTGGCCCGCGGGTCGGCTGCCCTGTTGCCTCTGATCATGAGCTCCTCCCCCCAGGTGGACGCCGCGGCGAGCGCCTTGTGCGCCTTGACCTTGCGCGCTGTGGCCGACGGGCCAGGCCCCGCCCACCGCTCCTGCCACAAGTGGCGACGCGCCTGCAGCGGCGCGAGGGCCTTGTCCCGCGAGGGCGCCAGGCCGACCGTGCCAGCACAGTCGCAGAAGACCTCGAGGCCCGAGCCGTCGTCCGACGCCTGCCAGAACTGTGCCAGCATGTGGAACGCGTAGTCCTCGCCGTCCCTGGCCTCCTGCTCGGGTCCGTACCTCCACGGGGCGATGCCGTGCATCCCGCCGATGACTTCCCCGCCGAGGCCGATCTGCACCACGGCCCAGCCAGCGCGGCGTGCCCCTCGCAGCGCGGGGAACTTGGCGCGGCCATCCACGAAGGCCCTGCCCGCGAACTTCGAGCCAGGCGGCACGCCGAACCAGCGCGGGGCCGCGAGCGCAGCGTCTGCCGCCGCGGGGAAGGCAAGGGCAGGGTCGGGGCAGAGCGCACGCGCGAAGAGCTCCGCCGCGGCATCCCCGCGCTGCGCCACCAGCCTTGCCCCTTCCAACAGCTCGGGCGAGCGCGCGTCCCGCCGCAGCGGCTGCCAGGCGTCGCACACGAAGGCCCTGTGCCACAGTGTGCCTCTGCCTCCACACAGACGACAGAGGCCGTCGAGCGCCTTGCCCTCCTTCCAGAGCCGCTCCTGCGGCCAGTGGGAGCCGCCGAGGACCGCCACGAGCGCGCGCCTGTGTCGGGCATGCCAGAGCGGCGGCGGAGGCGCGGGCCCCTGGCGGCCAGGGCCAGGGGCGGCCTCAACGGAGGCCTGCTCCTCGGGGCGGCGGCTCACGCGAAGGAGGCGCTCCAGCCCCTTCCAGTTCACAGGCCATGCCCAGGCGCCTGGCCCGCGCAGCCGCTGCAGCGCGCGCGCATCCGAGGCCAGCAGCGCCGACGTGCGCACCACCTGCACCAGCATGCCTGGCGAGAAGAACTCCAGCGAGAAGACCAGCGCCTGCCAATCGATGGCGGCATTGAAGGCCACCATCTCGCAGCCGACCCGCCTCAGCGCCAGTGCACGCGCCCGTGCAGGGTCGCGGCGCTGCCCCCAGGGGCGGCGAAGGTCCAGTAGGGCTTGCGCCCCGAGCCAGCACTCCTGCACCACCGCGGCACTGGGCAGGCCCGTCTCCAGCGTCATGCCCCAGGATCGCGCCACCTCCACCGCGTGCACCACGAAGGGGTTTGGGTAGGCGTCGCCATGCTGCGCCCGCAGCCGCAGACCAACGCTGGCGCCCATGGGCAACCTGCCCTCCGCGCGCATGGCGGCGACCCGCAGGCCGTGCAGCTTCCCGCAGGCGAGGCCCGTCACGGCGGAGCCCCAGACGGCGGTGGCAGCGGGGCCCCCCCTCTGGATGTGGCCCACCCGCGCACCAGCACTGCGCAGCAGGCGCGCCCGCGCACTGACCGCCGCCGCGCGGCCGAGCCGCGCGTCCTGCTCGCCCACGCGCCTCCAGCGCCCGTCGGTGGCGTCGCCAGCAAGGCAGCGGGCGCCTGTCCAGCGGGCCAGCGGCCCATGCGCCCAGCAGCCGTCCAGCGCGTCGCCCAGGTCCTCGCCGTTCACCAGGTAGCCCGTCTTCGCCTCCGAGATGACCAGCCCCTTGGCGACCAGGCCCTCGATGAGGGCAGCCATGGCCCTGGGTAGCTGCTGCACCACCTGAGCCTCGCCTCCGACCGCCTGCAGCAACGCGTCGTCAACGACGTTCTGCAGGCGAACCACAGGGCTCCCGCGCACAATCTTCACGAAGAGGGTGTGCACCAGCAGCTTGGCCAGCCCGACCGCCCCGCTGCATCCCGCCACAATGGTGCCGTTCGCCCCGAACGGCTTGGAGACTGAGCCGCACCACGACACGCACCGCTGCGCACAGTACGACACGCAATAGCACCGCAGCAGCGCGAGCGGGAAGCCCGTGGCGACCGCCTGCACGCGCAGCTCCTCATGGCTGACATGCTCGTAGAACTTCGCCAGGTCGGTGACTCCAGTGGCCGCCGAGAGGCCCCTGCTGCGAGCGAAGGCCGCCAGGAGGTTGTGCACCACCCCCGCGCGCTCGCACGGGCACTCCGACGTGCCCCAGAAGGCGGGGTTCTGCAGCGAGGCCTCCCAGCGGGCCACCAGCGGCTGCCGCATCCTGCTCCATACCCTCAACCAGATGGCCGTGCGGCCGATCGGTCGCTGGCCTCCAGTAGCCTTGGGGATGAACACCACAACCAGCTGCCACAGCGCCTCCCGCGCGGGCCTCCGCTCCCAGGCCTGGATGAGCTCCAGGAAGCGCTCCCTGTAGGACCGCGGGAGGCGCAGCAGCTGCTTCGGGTGGAGCCTATCCCAGCCGAGGCAGCACCCCTAGCAGGACCCGCTCCAGGTCCTCGAGCTCCAGCGGCGGCAGCACCGACTCCTGGATGTCCTAGTCCTCAGGCGCCACCTCGCCAGCGCGCGACGGCTTGACCCAGTGGGGCTGCCACGCCTTCAGCAGCGCAGCCACTGCGGCCTCGACTGCTACATGCATGCGCGGACCATCGTCGCCGTCCGCGCCCGCGTGCACCACCGTGGGCAACACCGTGACCTGCTTGATGAAGCGGTAGGCCGCCGAGCCGCCCCTCTCGGTGGCCGCAGCCTGGGCCCGGGCGCGCCACTCTGCAGCCCTCCGCTGCTTGTCCTGCATCCAGCGCCGCCTCGCCTTCTCCTGGACGAACTGCACCGTCAGCTTGCACGATGAGGTGCTGAGCAGGCCCGCTACGCGGGCGACCGACAGCCCTGCGAGCGGGCCGTCCTCTGGCCACTCAAGCTCGAACGCCTCCAGCACCTGACGCTGCTTGCGCAGCGGCGCCGCGCAGCGACCTCCTGGCGCCGCCTCCTGCAGCGCGCGCCAGCGGGAGCACGCCGCCGCAAACGACATCCAGCGTCTGCACGCAGCGCCGACACACCTCTTGAGGTCCTGCTTCCAGGCCACCTCCATCTTGACCTTCTGCGTTCGCAGCCCGCCTGCCCGCCCTTTCCAGCGGCTGGGCGGCACGATCTCGTGGAGGTCGATCAGGTAGGCCTCCACCGCCTCGAGCCACTCCTGACAGCCCACCTTGAGCGGCTGCTCGCCACCTAGACTCCAGGCCGAGAACCCGCGCTCATGTGGCGCTGGCCTTGCTGGCGGCGGTAGCGGCAGCGGGAAGGCAGCAGGGGACAGCGGCCGCTGCACCCTCGCCGCTGGCCCTACGCCGCGGAGCACCACCTTCAGCGGCACGTGGTCCTTCGTCGGCGCCTGCAGCAGCACCTCAGCCGTCTCCACGAAGCCCGTGGGGACCTTGCTGACGACAGCGAAGTCGAAGACCTTCGAGCCGCAGGTCGGCTCCCCTGGGGCGACGAGAGCAGCGCCCGCGCTGCGCGCCCACTCACGGACGTCCTCGGGCTCCATGTTCCAGCCGCCCATCACCAGCCACGGCGACTCCAGCTGCCCCACAAACTCGTGCAGCGCCGCCATGAGCCCGATGTTCTCCTTCGCCCTGCCTATCTTCGTGATGAAGTAGGACGAGATGACACGGCGCGGCTCCCTGAATCCCAGGTTCACCTCGCACACCTGGAACCGATGGGCTGGGAGCCCTGGCGTAGCGACGGCCGCCGACGGCCGCAGCGTGGCCGCCGCCACACCTCCCGAGCTCTCCAGTGGCCCAGGGCCCGTCGCCAGCGCAGCCTGGCCGTGCCAGCTGAGGCCACGCGCCTGCATCCAGCCCGCAGCGCGGGCCACAGCCTGCTTGCCCTTGAGGCGGTGCTCCTGGAGGCAGAGCACCTCGGGCAGCCGCCCCGCGCCGTCGTGCAGCCACTCGACCAGCGACTGCGCAGAGCCCCACG